TAGATAGATAGATAGATAGATAGATAGATAGATAGATAGATAGATAGATAGATAGAAATAAATAAATTAACAAATGTTTGGACAGTCAGACAGATATATAGATAGACAGACAGATTCAGAAATTAATATATACCTGCACCTGACAAAACCTGCGTGTTACTTTACACATATTCATTTGTGTCAATAAAATAATTTATAAGGGGCATCTCAAAACAAATTCCTGTTATCAGAAAATCAATTCTAGGCGTGATTAACAAACTTAACTCAACAACAACTACAAACTAACTCATTTCCATATTAAATACACAATACTTCTTTTTAAAATGTATTTGGAATATAAGTATATTATAACTATATTTTAAATAAAAGGTAATAAAATGTGTTAAATAAAGTAAACAAATAGGCTGAAATGACTGATCCACTTAGGTGTTGCAGTTGGATATGCGTTTTATCCAAGATACAGAAAATGATAAAAATACTGTAAATGGATACAATAACAGATAGATATAACAGACGGACGGATAGATCGGATAGATAGACAGACAGACAGACAGATAGAAATAAATAGATTTATAATAAATTAGTATTGATATGTAATTAGAACTGTAAAGCTTAACTTTTAGATATTAGATATTAGAAAAATCAAATCTGTTGGAGACGTCCAATAGATTGGTACCGAAAAAAGGGGGTGATCACCAGAGTGGGGAAGTCCCCGAGTAAAATGAGAAAATATGATACAGGGGTGTTTTGGAACATGGAAAAACTGTCGTTACCCTGTTATCGTCTGGTTTTTTTTTTTTGTTTGTTTTTATTTTATTCATACTTGTATATATACTGTTATTCCCGTTTATGGAAAGCACTTTGAATTGCCGCTGTGAATAAAATGTGCTATATAAACTTGCCTTGCCTATAGATAGATGGATGGATGGATGGATGGATGGATGGATGGATGGATGGATGGATGGATGGATGGATGGATGGATGGATAGATAGATAGATAGATAGATAGATAGATAGATAGATAGATAGATAGATAGATAGATAGATAGATAGATAGATAGATAGATAGATAGATAGATAGATAGATAGATAGATAGATGATAGAGATAAATTAACAAATGTTTGGACAGACAGACAGACAGATATATAGATAGACAGACAGACGGACAGACAGTTTCAGAAATTAATATATACCTGCACCTGACAAAACCTGCGTGTTACTTTACACATATTCATTTGTGTCAATAAAATAATTTATAAGAGACACCTCAAAACAAATTCCTGCTATCAGGAAATCAATTCTAGGCGTGATTAACAAACTCTATAAAGGTTTAATTGTTTTTAAATCGATTGAGATATCGATCGCTTCACAACACGGAAGGTAATTTGCCGCTGCTGAAAAGGCTTTAGAATTTAATACGCTAATTGCGGTTGAGTACATGACTAAATCATGCACAGTCTTTCAAAACCCCAGGTGGATCAAGTGAATCCCAGAAGACAAGCACACCGCATGAACTGAAGAGAGCTAAAGAGATAGATAGACTGCCGGAGGGAAACTAGTAAATATCTAGGGGCGCAATTCTTGAGAGATCTCTTTTAACCCCAAAGGGATGTATAACAGATAGCATGGCTGCTCCAATCTCTGAGGTCCATCAGGACACTTTTTGCCTTCTTCATAAAGTACTCCATCATCTGTAGCATTGCTGATACTGTGGTTCTGGACTGTTGAGGGACTTCAGGAATCTGCAGGACATACATCATGTGTATGTTTAATTCATACATTGATTTGAAAACAATGATGTATGTATGCTGTGTGCACAGCGGCGGAAATAAGTATTGAGTATTTTTTCCTGGGAATAATATTTCTGAAGCAGCTGTTCACAAGGAGTTACAGCAAATTTTGTAGTTTTTAAAACAATATAATCGTAAAAGTAAATCAAACAAGTCACATGCATTGATCAGGTGGGATTTTTTCAACAGACTTAAACAGAGTGTAAAAATCTTGATAGTTCTCGTCTATCAAATCTGATCTTTATTTTGTATTCTCTATTGGATTCGAGTCAGGTGATTGGCTGGGCCATTCTACAGCTTGATTTTCTTTCTCTGAAAGCATTTGAGAGTTTCCTTGACTTGACCAGGGGGTAGCTTTTAGTGTAGTTAAGCTACATTTGAAGTAGAGCTAGCTAATAGCTTAGCTCACTACATTTTTCAAGTAGCTTCCCCAACACTACTGATAATGTAGATGTTGGAATGAAGCAGGTAATATTCATTTACACCAGGGCTCGGTTTTTTAAAAGTAATCCACTAGGATTTTGGATAGGGGATTGGATCAAATCTTGACAATGGGTTTTTCAAAAGAAAAAACGGATTACCTAATCGGATTAGATCACGTAATCCAATCTTGGTTTTGATCCAGATCAAACCTTTACTTTGGGTTTTTCAGACGTTTTTTTGTAGGATTTGGATCACTTTGATCCAAAAAACCTGGATCCCATCAGAAGGGTAGATTTAGTGTGGTTTTCATGCCCAAAATGTAATGAAAACTTAAAAAATGTATTAAATAATATTATTTTTGGGTCATGCAGTATCTTACTAGATATGCTATTTATTCATAAGTTTTTAATTTTATTTGTTCATCTGTCAGGCTATAGTGATTATTGGCTTTAATGTATTCAGCCTTTCAGTATAGGCCTACAGCAAAGTAGAAATAGCTTGGCCTTATAAAATAATCCCCCAAACAGCTGTCAAAACTGACCAAAAACAATCAATTTTATATAATATATATATATATATATATATATATATATTCATCACAATGGAAAATATTTTTCTTTTTAGAATATTTATTGGTGATGCATGCAATGATTACAGAATAACCCCAAAAAAAAAAAAAAAATGCAAAGAATGGCAATCACAGATTTTTGAAATCTCTTTCAAAAATTGCAAAAAGAGACTGAAAGTGCAGAAGCACAGCTTCATCTGGCAAAGGAACAATTGACTCTGACCAAACTGCAGCAAACCAAGGCCAGACTTGAGATTCGCCTCCTAAAGGCTTTGCTCAGACAAGCTGGTCTCTCCACATCAGATGAGGAAGTCTGAACTTATTGTGGAGTTTTTGACATTGAGTCTTTTTTTATTTACTTCTATATTTGAAACTTATTATAAATATCCTCAATCTACAGTGTTGTAGGTCTCAGATGAGCGGACTGCTGGAAGAGGATGGGGTGAGGTTTTTATTGTTTTTAGTTTTTTTTTTTTAAATGTGTGTGTGTTTTCATTTCAAATAAAAATAAAGTTATATTGACCCCACACTGGCTATTCTACTTGTTGCTCTTTACATAGGCCTATCTATCCATCTACATTGTGATTGAGCACTGGTTATCCAGATTTAGTGATCCTGAAAAGTTCCTATCCAGATCAGATTGATCCAATCCAATGTTGCTTTGAAAAACTGGCTCAAAAAGTAAGCTGGATTACGTGATCACGGATCGCAAAAACAGGATTACTAAATCTGGATCAATTTTATCCAGATTAAGCCTTTTGAAAAACCGGGCCCAGGGGTCACCAATCTCGGTCCTGGAGGGCCGGTGTCCCTGCAGGGTTTAGCTCCAACTTGCCTCAACACACCTGCCTGGGTGTTTCAAGTATACCTAGTAAGATCTTGATAAGCTTGTTCAGGTGTGTTTGATTAGGGTTGGAGCTAAAATCTGCAGCACACCGGCCCTCCAGGAACAAGTTTGGTGATTCCTGATATACACTAACAAAAGGCAGAGGATTATTAAGTTGCTGTCAGGGCTTTCACTGCCTTTCTACACCTCCCTTTCTTCATGTGTTCAATACTTTTTTCATGTGTCATTTCATTTTATTACACATAACTTAATTTGTAAACTTATAAGATTTTCATATATGTATTTCATTGATTAACATGCAAGAAAAATTAGAAAAAGTCAACAGCACCTTTAGAAATATGTTTTTTGATTAAAATGTTGACGTGTTCAGTACTTGTTTCCCCCACTGTATGTGTACGAGTAGCTCTTAGCTGCAGTTTAAATTGTGCTCTCTGATGGAAACACCCGAGGCATGAGGACTCTTATTATTTAAAGATTTATTAAATGCATAAAGGTATATACAAAAACCAATTATACAATTTCACACTTTTCAAAAGTCATGCGAATCATTTTTGCTTCAGGTCTTTCAATCAAACTAACGATGGGTTTTCAAACAGAGACTCGAATGACTTCATTTCACACAGTGAAAAAAACAAACATGGATTAGGTACAAAATTCTCATTGGAGTCTTGTGAAAAGACGGGACCTTATATTTCATGTATATTTATGAATTTACAATTAAAATATCAGATTCATCCAAGTAGGTATCGCTGCAGCCCGGAGACCTGCAAGTGGGAGGAATTACACCGCAAGTAGGTTGGGTGACCTCCAAGTGGGAGGGACTCAAACCGCAAGTAGGTTGGGTTTATCAGGTTACTGTGAGGTTGGGTTTAGGGTTGGATTTAGGTGTAGACGTTAATAAAACACAACAGGTTACTGTGAGGTTGGGTTTGGGTTTAGGGTTAGGTATACAAATTCATAAAGCACAATATTCAAGTCTAAATACAACTAAATAAGGTTTGCCCAGCCCACTTGGAGCTCCAAGACCCACCCACTTGGAGCTGGCTCCGGCCTCCGTTTATACCCTTCTCAATTCATCCCATATGCGGTGGCATTAAAATAATGAAGCAAAGACGAACAAAAAAAACAAGAAAAAAAATCTGGTAACACTTTATTTTGATGGTACATTTGAGTATTAGTAGACTGTCTGATACTGCTCCTTCAACAGGCATTTAACTGACACTTTGCAAGTACTTGTCAACTTATGTACACCAACCCTAACCCCAACCTAACAGTCTTCTTATAATCTAATGAGAATTAGTTGGCATGTAGATGCAATGCAACTTAAATTCAACAAACGGACCATCAAAATAAAGTGACCAAAAAATCCTGTCAGTCAATTATTATAGTTTAAAAAAACTATTCCCTGCAAATGTACATCTAAATTAAAATGAAGGCATTCATATTGAGGGATATATAACTTGAAGTTTGGCCAAGCCATTTAATACCAGGTGTTTATAATATGCGCAAGAAATTGTGGCTCAGATGCATAAAATTACAGGAAAGCTTAAAGAGAAAAGCAGCAATCGGAAAATTATCCAGATTTTCTGTTACTCAATAATCGTGGAGATGTTCTGGCACAGTTGTGATTCGAGTCCTCTTGTAGCTGTAGTATCCCCGAAAAGGCTTTCCTTAAACTAACATTTTTTTGGCGCCGTTGACCTGTGAAAAATTCACTTCGACGTCAGCCCCAGTTGTAAAAGTAGATCTTCTGCCAAATGGGCAAGTACTCCATCAGAGGACCTGAGAGGACAGGAAAAGAAACCCAGTCAGCACATATCTCAGAGCTTTTAGTGTAACAGCATTGAACATCCGTTTGGGTGAGATGGATACGCCACTTACGCGCCACCAAACCAACTCCGGGAACGTAATCTGCCAAAAAGCGGAGGAGGAAGAGGATCTTTGTCCTGTGAGGGTTGAAAAAGACATTAGATCTGGAAACACAAAGCCACCGTTATTTTATGCAGTATAGAACTGCTGGATATTGGAAAAAATGACATTATATAGATTTTATGTGATATACAGTTTATAAGCCCTCCGGTGATTTTTTTCCCTTTTCAAATTTTTCCCAAATGATGTTTAACAGAGTAAGGATTTTTTTCACAGTATTTCCTTTAATGTTTTTTCTTCTGGAGAAAGTCTTATTTGTTTGATTTCAGCTAGTTTTAAATTTTTTAAAAAACATTTTAAGGCCAATACTATTAGCCCTCTTAAGCCATTTTTTTAGATTGTCTATAGATTGAACCATCGTTATACAATAACTTGCCTATTTACTAGGGCCAGACGGAATCTGCAGACTTTTTTTGCTATTTCTGTGGAGAATTTTGGTAAAAGTCTGTGGATTTCTGCGGAATTATTTTGGGAGTATCATAACTAAAACCTTAATATATGAAATAAAAAAATAATATCTTTTAACTCTTATTTAATGTTTAAAATGCAAATCCAATTAGGTTAACTTTATTTAGTAAATAAAGCAAGTTTGTCATATAATATATCTAGTAAAAAACAGAAAATAATACTGTACAAACTGCATTGTACATAAATCAGATAAACATTTTCACATTAGTCAATAATATTACTGAAATTAATAAAAAATTTATTTCCTCAAGTAAATAAACAGAACTAATGATGGGCTGAAAATCTGCAGAATTCTGCGCGCACAGATTCCGGGTGGGCCTACTAATTACCCTAACTTGCCTAATGAACCTAGTTAAGACTTTAAATGTCACTTTAAGCTCAATACTAGCGTTAAACAGAAATTAGAGAAAAAACAGGGGGCTAATAAATCAGGAGGGCTTCAGCTGTATCATGCAATATGAAAATAATTTTACAAGATGACACTATTTTTGAAAGAATTAAGAATTTTACATCGATTGGGATGTTTTTTTAGGGGAGTGCATATGCATAAAATGTACAATATATATATATATATATATATATATATATATATATATATATATATATATATATATATATATATATATATATATATATATATTTTTTTTTTTTTTAAATTACAGTATGTATAAAATAAATTAAAGTCACAGATGAAAACAATAGAACAAAGGTTAAAAATAAAATAAGTCTAATAGTACTGAGGTTCATAAATTCAATAATCAAATGTAAAATAACAATGTATAATCTCCTTTGTATTAATAAGAACAATTAGGGGTCGATCACACCGAACGTGTTTTTTGCGTTAAGTGGTGCCTTTTTTGAATGATGTCCTTGCGAACCTTGCGTTTTTGCCATTGCAATTGAATAAAGGTCAACTCTGAGCGGAAAAGCATGTTACGTCACTCGCATCTTTTTCATTCTCCAATCAAATGAAAGCAGAGGCTGGTTTCTGTTGAGGTGACAGCAGTGTTTGTGTTGTCAAGACGACTATGAAGACTTTTAAGGATGGAGGAGAGACTTGTGGTTGCTGTTTTGAGTTATCCACAGCTGTATTATTTTACAAATCTTGAATTTCACAATATTACTAAATATTAAAATTATACCAATATCAACAGTAACACTCGCGCACAATGCACAATTCAGTCGGTGCCTACCGACATAAAAAGAGCACCGCGCTTCTTTTTTTCCAGTGTGATCGGCGCCTTAATCTTCCTTAATGTGCCAAATTTCACCAGGCTTAGTCTCTATTTCCGAGGGCGCCACAATGGAATGAACCCCCAATTATTCTGGCATATGTTTTACGCAGTGGATGCCTTCCCAGCTACATCCCAGTATTGGGAAACACTCGTACACACTCATTCACCCACACACATAATCTACAGACAATTTAGCTTACCCAATTCACCTATAGTGCATGTGTTTGGACTGTGGGGGGAAACTGGAGCACCCGGAGGAAACCCACAACAACACGGAGAGAACATGCAAACTCCATACAGAAATGCCAACTGATCCAGCTAAGGCTCGAACCAGTGGCCTTCTTGCTGTGAGGCGACAGCGCTACACACTGCGCTGCCCAGAAAACTGACTCAAGAGTTTTCAATGATTAATAAAATTACAAATACATTAATATTAGTGCAAAAATGATCATTTTCAGTGTGTAACTGACTGTTACTGGTACTTTTAAAGGACTTAGTTAGGAAAAGCTATTTTCACAGCTGAATCTATGAACTGCTGTTTTTATTTCTAAAGTGCAATGTTCTCTTTCTCTATATGTGTGTGTTTTTTAATTCATCCACTAATGTTGTGTTCTGGTCAGCTTGACCCAAAGAGGTTTCCTTCAAAAGTGCTAGTTAAAAGGCTCACACCGTGCTTTTTACACTTCAGTGTTTAATACTGCTATTTGAACATGGAGAAAAAAAAAAGTTTGAAAGCACAAAATTACTCCAAAGGGCTTTCTTAAATGCCTCCTTTGTCCCAAATTGTCTTTTGGAAACATAATATTAGAAATAGACACAAATTTGGGCTATATATACAGACATGAATGCAGTTTCTTTAGCAACTGTTTAAATTGAAAAACTGTACAAAAGCACGCACATCCTTCTTAACTGGGTGCTCAGCCAAAAAACACAAAAGGTGCAAATTAAATATTCATCAAAGGCGGCAACACCAAAGCTCCAAAAATACTAATTCATCAAATTAAAAAGCTGACACAAAGCGTGTAACGTTTCAAGCCACACGGCTCTTCATCAGACTCTTCATCAACTATTTACATTCACAGAAATAACTGTGATAGAGAATACAGAATATGTGGTAACGCTTTAGCTTAGGGCGATGCGGTGGCGCAGTAGGTAGTGCTGTCGCCTCACAGCAAGAAGGTCGCTGGTTCGAGCCCCGGCTGGGTTAGGATTTCTGTGTGAAGTTTGCACGTTTCCTCTGGGTGCTCCGGTTTCCCCCACAGTCCAAAAGTCTTTAGTGTAGGTGTGTGAATGAGAGTGTGTGTGTGTTTCCCAGTGATTGGTTGCAGCTGGAAGGGCATCCGCTGCGAATAACATATCCGGAATAAGTTGGCGGTTCTATTTGCACAAAACCGAAAACGAAAATATGGAAAAAAAAAAAAAAAAAAGTTGGCGGTTCATTCCGTTGTGGCGATCCCAGATTGATAAAAGGACTAAGCCGAAAGAAAATGGATGAACTTTAGTTCACAAAGTTTAGGTCACAAATCATGGTATTGAGAACCTTTAACTAACACTACTAGTAGAGGTCTGCATTCCCACGGCTGTACGGCGGAAGCCAGGGGACCCGACCAGATTTCTTGCGGCTTTCCAAATTTCCAAAACAAAGCGCGTGAGCGGTCAGTATTTGGTTATATCCAAATACACAGCATGTTTTTTGAGCACACTTCGTTATTATTGTTAATTTATTAGTTTGCAGGAAATTAAAACTGAATTAGAAATAGTTTTGAAACAAATATTTGCGCTTAACAAACGAAATTAATTATTTATAGGCTAATTGATGTCTGTGGTACAAGGTTTCCCTATCCACGAGAGCGAAAGTGAAAGTAGATAATGAGATGCCTTATGCTCTGTTTAACGGTTTTCCTGCTAGTGAAACGCCCAGTATTTCCACTTACAAAGTTGTCATGTAAATAGCAAATGCGCTATGGCGCAACGCAACTGGCTCTTAAAGGGAATGGGAGATGAGACTCTGAGTGGTTTATTCTCAAAACACACTAGAACTCATTAAAAAAATAAACTCAATCCTTTTAGATCATGCGTCATGGTGCAAAGCAGATTTTTCCGTCCTTAAATTAGCAAAAGTGGATTCTGCCACGCCCTAAATGCGTTTGCGCATTTGTTCGGAAAATAAACGAAGGTCACCGTGGATAGCACTGACATGAGGGTAAGTAATTACTAACCAGTTTTCATTTTTGGGTGAACTAACCCTTTAAGATCAACAGACAAGACAGAACAAGTGTGTATGTAATAAAGTAGACACTGACTCAGAGTATCGGTCATAGAAAGGGGAGCGGAGCAGGTAGTAGAGCAAAAGGAAGGCCCGTCTCCTCATTTCAGCACGCTCTCTTCGGTTCAGCGCCTTCATGTCACTCAGCAAACTAAAACTGGACAGGAAACAGCAGCACATTGAACTGTAAACCTTTGCAGACAGATTGAAAAAGACAGCTCTGAGAGAGTGCGAGAGAGAAACTGAGGGAGATCACATCTGTATTATGTTTTATATAATTATGTGTATTTAATATGTATACTGTATACATTCCTTTCTATTTCATTATGTATTATTATTGTTGTTATTATTTTTATCAATATTGTTATCACTACTATTATTTAGACTGTTTTTTCCCTAATATGTATAAAACTATGCGATGCAGTGGCGCAGTAGGTAGTGCTGTCGCCTCACAGCAAGAAGGTCGCTGGTTCAATCCTCGGCTCAGTTGGCGTTTCTGTGTGGAGTTTGAATGTTCTCCCTGCGTTCGGGTGGGTTTTCTCCGGGTGCTCCGGTTTCCCCCACAGTCCAAAGACATGTGATACAGGTGTATTGGGTAGGCTAAATTGTCGGTAGTGGTATGAGTGTGTGTGTGAATGTGTGTGTGGATGTTTCCCAGAGATGGGTTGCGGCTGGAAGGTCATATGCTGCGTAAAAAAATAAGCTGGATAAGTTGGCGATTCATTCCGCTGTGGCGACCCAAGAACAATAAAGGGACTAAGCCGACAAGAAAATGAATGAATGAATGTATACGATATGCAATATGTTTCCATGTATATTATGCTAATAAAGCCAATTGAATTATAGAAAGAGAATTACGTAGATGTATTATGGTATTCTTTTATTTTGATATTTTTATTGTTATTATATGTTTACATTTGTCTACATATTTCAAGCATTGGCTATATTATTATTTACAGTCATGCCAATAAAGCAATTGTGAATTGATTTACTTTTATATTGTAATAACGTGTACATTATGAATATATAAGTTTGTGCTATTTACTTATATATTTTTGTCTTTTATCAATATGTTTTATGTATGGTATGCTTATTGTTATTGCTTTGGCAATATTGTGGTATATTTGACAGTCATGCCAATTGACTTAAGAGATATTAAGAAAGAGAGAGATTAGGATAGAGAGAGGGAAAGATGCAAATCTAGCTGCTAAATATATGTACAAAATAGGTTAATCAACTGTATTAATTTGCCTAATTTATTAAATCTACAGCATTTTGACTAGTTAATTATTATAATCAATATTAAAATTATTATCATTGTTTTTCTGTCATTTATTTCTTATATATTTTATATTTTAATAATTTCATGATTTGAGCGTAGTACATATTTTATCTCTAACTAAACTGCATTTTATTAAGAGAGAGAGAGAGAGAGGGAGTGAGAGGGAGGGAGAGAGAAAGAGAGAGAGAGTGAGAGGGAGGGCGAGAGAAAGAGAGAGGGAGTGAGAGGGAGGGCGAGAGAAAGAGATGCAATGCAGTCTGTACCTGGTTATCTCTAAGAGACCAGAGAGGATCCATGGTTTCCAGGAACGTTTTCCGCAAATCCCAAGACTGGCCACTTACAAATGTTAAGGATGGAGGATGAAAAACTGTCAAAATATATTCACACAATTTCATCACCACAGCAAAAATAAAATAAAAGAGATTAATATCAATTTCCTGATCAATCTTGCAATCAAAATTGAGCTTATTATTGCCAGCTAGCTCATGGTCCAATACAAATATAAAACATAAGAATAAAATGTGTGTAAAAGGAATTAAAAATGAATTCTTTACGCACACAAAAATATGTTTTCTGGTTGTTCACATAACTCATTTAAAATGAGCTGGAACAACTCAATTCTACAGTTTATTTAGGTAAAACTGAAATGTTTTATGCTCAATCAAATCAAATTTGTAAAAACTAATAACCTAACTGAATTCCTTCATGTTGCCCCAACACAAATCTCAGAAGTTTCATTTTAAGCATGTTCAGCGTGTGATGACGTTTATATTATTATAGCTATTTTTCAATATTTATTTTACATTGTAAAGAAAGGCTGGGTTCCACACAATCGATTTGTGTTGGGACAACATGAAGGAATTAAGTAGACTTATTAGTTTTTACTAATTTAAGTAACATGAAACAATTAAGCTGTGCCTCCAAAAAAAAAGTCTAGAATTGTGTTGTTTCAGCTTACTTTACACAAGTAGTTTGAGAAAAAAGTCAGATTTTTTGAGTGCACTTTCATGCCAAACTAAAAATTAAGATATTATTGATCACAGAAATGATTATTATTCACTCATTCATTCATTTTCTTGTCGGCTTAGTCCCTTTAGTAATCCGGGGTCGCCACAGCAGAATGAACCACCAACTTATCCAGCAAGTTTTTACGCAGCGGATGCCCTTCCAGCCGCAACTCATCTCTGGGACATATCCACATACACTACGGACAATTTAGTTACCCAATACGCCTGTAGCGCATGTCTTTGGACTGTGGGGGAAACCGAAGCACCCGGAGGAAACCCACACAAACACAGGGAGAACATGCAAACTCCACACAGAAACGCATACTGAGCCAAGGCTCTAACCAGCGACCTTCTTGCTGTGAGATGACAGCACTCACATATATGATTATTATAATTATTAAAATGATTTATTCTTTAAATTATTATTATTATAAAGTTTTATTTCTGGCATCCCTGCCATTATTTGACAGGACAGTATTAGGTTGACAGGAAATGAAGTGGGAGAGAGAGGAGGGCAAGATCGGGAAAGGTCCAAGAGTCGGGATTTTAACTCGGGATACCAGGAGCGCTGCCGCACCATATGTCGGCACACTAACCACTTAGCTATTGTGCTAACAGATTTTAAAGATTATTTTTCATTCATTTTCTATTCGGCTTAGTCCCTTAATTAATCTGTGGTTGCCAAAGCGGAATGAACCGCCAACTTATCCAGCATATCTTTTACACAGCGGAAGCCCTTCCTGCAGCAACCCATCATATCATATAGCAACACACTCATATACTACGGACAATTTTAGCTTTGAGCACCAGGAGGAAACCCACGCAAACACGAGGAGAACATACAAACTCCACACAGAAATGCCAACTGACCCAGCCGGGGCTAGAACCAGCGACCTTCTTACTGTGAGGGTATTTTATTTTATTTCACCAACTGAACTTTGTCTTTGAAGACCAAAATTTCCCTCTGGAAAAAATGGATAAATGTGTTAGCCCCAAAAAAAAGGTATTTTGAGACATGAAATGTCTGGGCAATATTAAAATGAGAATACATTTAATTTAATTTAATTTAATTTAATTTAATTTAATTTAATTTAATTTAATTTAATTTAATTTAATTTAATTTAATTTAATTTAATTTAATTTAATTTAATTTAATTTCTTTCTTCCATGTCAAGCTCTAAGTCAGAGGTGTCCAAACTCAGTCTTGGATGGCCGGTGTCCTGGAGAGTTTAGCTCTTTTTTGAACACATTTGAACCAGCTAATCAAGCTCTTATTAGATATACTAGAAGCTTCCTGGCTGATATGTTAAAGCAAGTTGGAGAAACTCTCCAGGACACCAGCCCACAGCCTGCTCTAAGTTATTGTATTCATAATCATCATCATCCAATAAACAACTAAAAGCCATGCAAAAGGCCGGCAACCTTGAAAAACACAAGCACTTCTGCAGGCATGAAACACCATTTAGAGACTACAAGTGTTGGCCTTCAAATAGTGCTTGGGACAAAAAGAAGCAGCCTTCAAGTCAAAACAAGTGAGAATTACTACATTAAATCATCTTGTTTTCTTGGAAATACTTGATTATGCTATGAAAAAAAAAAAATGTGCCACACAATGTGCCGATCACACAACAGTAGTGGACTGAACATGGTGAAAATCTAATAAAACTACATGACTTCGACTTATTGATGTTCCTACACCCCTGAGATTGTTTCTACACCTCTGGGTTAATATTGCACTGATATTGTTGTGAAACACTGAGGAAGGATACGGTGCAGAAGCGGTCTTGCGATGTACAGGGATTCTGCGATGGTTTCCTGCAGACCCAGAGGAGTCGGGCTGGAGTAAAGCTCCTCTTCCTGATTCCTGCTTACTTTCTTTTTCCGAGGGAGACCCCAGAGACGAGACTGTAATGATGGTGCTAGAAAAAGAAAAATACACTTACACATTTTTAATGGCATGGAACCATTTTTGTACACTTGGTTAAAGGATAAATAATGGACACTATTACAAGAATGACCACCATGTATTTTACCAGCTATTTAGAAATGCATGTAAGATTGTGTTATTTTAATTTTATAGTTCTCATTTTGTATTTTGTGTGTTCTTATCATTAATATATAGGTATAGGTGTACAGGCAGAATTATTAGCCCCCTTTATATTTTTTTCCCCAATTTCTATTTAATGGAGAGATTTTTTTCAACACATTGGGAATGGGTTTGGGCAATATTGGTTTATATACCAATTAATATAGTTAATTATTATATATTTTAGATATTAATGTTTGCTTTATTCTTTAAAAGAGCTGAAAATATTTCTTCCAAAATTAAAAAAAAAAAAATGTAATTAAGAGGACTTACGTATTTTTGGTAACTGTTTAAGAAAAAATTTGTCATTTGTTATAATTAAAAATCAGGCATTTTCCGACAATTTTTGATTTTTTAATAAAGCAAATAAAAGCAATAACAAAACACAAATAAAAAAAACCAACAAAACAATACACAGCAAAGCTAAACACAAAACAAAAAGAAAAACAAAACAAAAAAATAATAAAAGTAAAAAAAACAATACAACAAAAAACAAAACTAACAAAACAAAAACAAATAAAAAGCAAAAAACACAATAAAAACAAACAAAATAAAAAACAAAAAACATTAAAGCAAAGCAAAACCCAGAACTAAACAAAAAATTTATAAAAGCATAAACAAAAACAGACAAAGCAAATTAAAAACAAAACATACAAAACAATTAAGGAAAGCAAAACAAAAAAAAACAAACAAACAAAACAAAACAACACAACAAAAACAAACATACAAACAAAACAAACAAAAAACAAAAAGGAAACGAATACGCAAAAACAAAACAACACAACTAAAAGCAAACAACCAAAAACAAAAAAAAAACGTACAAAACAATAAAGCAAAGCAAAACCCAAAACAGACAAACAGAAAATGAATAAAAGCAAAAACAAAGCAACACAACAAAAAACAAACAAACCAAACAAACAAAGTCTTACCACTTCCCAGTGGCCGGACCACTCTTCCTGAACGCTGGCCCACAAAAGAACTGTCTTCATCATCTTCTTCTTCATTGTTGTCTGTGTAGAATATAAGTGTGTGACGAATGAACAAAACATCACTATTTTGACACAGACTGCAAGAGCTGATGCTTCTCAAAGTTACTGCCGTGTTTCTGTTCAAGGGCAAATCAAATGAGCACAACCCTACACAACACACAAACACAGCTTATCTACACATGCCATACGCTGGACTTATTGTCTCACTCTCTGTTTATTTACTGTCATCAGTGGGAATATTTCTGTATTATTGCTGTGCGTTAATTGTTTGTTGTGTCTCTGCTAAATGTCCTGCGCTGTGGTTTCCAGAGACACTTTAGTGTGGTTCATTTCCTGTTAATGATTAAAAATAATTAACTCTGACTTCTGAACTTCAAAGTTTTCTGATACATTTATAAGACTTATATTTATTAATGACTTTTATTGTAAACTGCATTAAAAGTCATTAAATTAGTTTTTAGGGGGTTCTTTTTAGGTTTAACAGTTCTGTCAGGTTCTTGAATCTGATTGGCTGATAGCTGTGAGATATTTTGCCAGTAACAGCACACAAAGGCCTCTTCACCTCTGTGTATTTCTCCGCCCACATAAAAGCAGAGGACGCTCTACAGTTTGACTAATATTCCTCCTATTGGACAACATAATGTACTTTTGAGGCTGTTTTAATCGAGAATGTAGTTGTTATGATTGCAACTATGCTGTATGCATTGCCTATTTTAAAATATTTATAATTTCTAAGAGACAGCGCTTTGGTCTCCATTAGTCAAACACAGTAGACGTTGTCTTTCCACAAGATGGTGCCAGGACCGCATAATAAGCCCTTGCTTAGATTAAACTGTGTTTTCTTGAGCGCGAACAAGAAACTGAAAAAAGAAAGCGTCGCGGTTTTTAGGTGGACCGGATAGCGTCAATAAGAAGCTTTGAATAAGAAGCTGGATTCATCCTTGTCCCTCCTTGTCGCAAACACATCAGCAGCCTGGTAGTGTTTGCGCTGCTTTTTTCAGGGTTAATTATTGTGATATTTTTTCAATACAACTTTGTTTTTTTCTAATACACTTTGATTAAATTTATTTAATAACATTTAATAATAATATTTGTACGCTTCAAACTTGCAGGTATTGTTATTTATAAATTCACAATATGGTCTATTTCAAAATACCAGCATTAGTTAAAACTAATAAATATTAATAAACAAATACAATGATCTAACTGAGTGATTCTCAGATTTCCACTGATATTTGTGCTGTAATCACGTGTTTTTATATACAGAAGATTAAAACTGTAATATATTAAATTATTAACCACAATAGATTTCAGAAGATTCTCCAGTATAATTTCCAATAAAAATATCTGCAATATCTTTTATCATTATTCTTAAATATTTGCACATTTCCATTTTTTATTTTATTCTTGGTCACCAGAGGGCTATATATTAATACATATAATGCTGTTATTGGGTATTTTTTAAGTATAGTATAGTAGTACTGTATAGTATAGCTTTTAGAGTTGTGTCTGATATGTAGATCTTTTTTTTTTATATTTTCAAATTTTAAGACCACTTATCTTTTTCTAATCACATCTATGTAAATTATTTTATGTTATACAGCAAGTTTTAACTCAAAGAGTTCATACCATTCTAGATGGTATGATGGGAAAGCTAGTTTACTGCCGGAAGTGACGTTAGTGAGAGCAGCAGGTGGCGCTTAACCTGCGGTCTCTGTGGGTCCTAATGCCCCAGTATAGTGATGGGGACTCCATACTGCTTAGTGAACGCCGTCTTTCGGATGAGACGTTAAACTGAGGTCCTGGCTCTCTGTGGTCATTAAAAATCCTAGAATGTTCTTTAAAAAAAGATAAGGGGTTTAAACCCGGCATCCAGGCCAAATTTTCCCACTGGCCTCTGTCCATCATGGCCTCCTAACCGTCCCCATATCATAATTGGCTTCATCTCTCTTTCTCCTCTCCACCAATCAGCTGGTGTTTGGTGTGCAGTTTGGCGCAATATGGCTGCTATTGCGTCATCCAGATGGATGCTACACACTGGTGGATGAGGAGATTCCCCCCCAAAAATGTGTAAAAGCGCTTTAAGTGTCAAGAAAAGCGTTATATAAAAGGAAGGAATTATTATTATTAAATAAGTGAAACATTTCTTTACATTAAAAAATGGTCTAAAAGGACTTGACCTGCAGATGATTGCATATTTAGAAAAGGGTGTCAGACATTCCACATTTAACATTCCACTGTTTGTTTTGAGGAGCTTTTCTAGTTATTTAAAAAAAGCCTCTTTTTAAATATTGATAGGCTTGTTGATTTTGTCTAAGATATCTCACCTTGACTACAGAGCTGAGAATCCCTGTCCAGAGGAATTATAGGTGGTGAAGTCTGGATGCCTGATTTGTACCAGAAGAGCAGCAGGCAGCGCAGAACTGCTCTGAAAACACAGGAGAGGATGGAGAAATGGGAGGACAGATATGAGAATGCAGTAAAGCAATGTTTATTTCGTTAACTTTCGATCAATTCTGTCATCAGTGAGAGTTAGACGGTAAGATTTGCAGAGAAAAAGAACTCGAACCCAAATCTAATGTATATAGTGTATTAAAAAATCTGCCAAGGTCACATTGATGACTTTTATGGCACTTTAATTGTGCTTTCACACTGTAGTAAATGCTGGGTTCCACACAATTCCTTTTTGTTGTCCCAATACAAATTAATTAAGCTAATTTAATCATTTTTACAAATGTAAGGTGATTGATCGTAAAACAATTCAGTTGCCCCCTAAAAAACCTTGAACATTGTGTTGTTTCAACTTATTTAAATAAGTAGTTTAAACAAGTCATTTTTTGAGTGTATTATCTTTATTCATTTACATGGAACTTATCAAAAGAGGACATTTAGTTAAAGGTGCAATATGTAAGTTTGACACCCAGTGGTTAAACTAGGTATTACATTCCTGAATCAAAACAAACACAACCACGCAGGTTGCCAGATTGACGTGTTTTATATAAAAACAATGGCATGTGATAGAAGGAATATTCTCCATATTAAAATGAGTTTTTGTTCTAACCAACACCTCAAATTGATCATTTTAGAAATGGTTTTAACTTCTTGCAGCTGAACAACAGAAAACGGGCAATGCCCAGGCAAACCTCAGGTGCTTTATTCAGTGTTAAATGCTAATAATGTAAGTTTGAATGCCATTTTACATGACCTTTATTTCCATGCTACTGAAAGCAGCAGCACATAATTCACCTCAGATCTGGAAAATAAAATAAACCATTTGAAATTGAACTTTTTAAAATAATGCAAGCCAACACATATCAGTGAATCAGCATCTACATTTAATAATGTTAAAAAGGTTTGATATGCATTAATTAGATTATAAACCTTACCATTTCTTCGGAGTGCAGTGAGTGCACTATTGTGTGCTTCTGAATTTAAAGTTCTGTCATGTTTCGTCTAATGCAAACAGCCAAATTTCTTATCGCTGCAAATCTTGCCACGTCGTGTGTTGTTAGGACATGGGGTTACAATGTAACCTGCTCACTGAATGTTTTACATTCATATCATTTATATTTTTTGCTGATTAATAACCACCTCATGGGGAACTCTGAATCTGCGTCTCATTTCAGAGTCAGCTACCATCTACCTGAGGTCACATTTTGGTCGAGGACACTTGCATTGTGAGCCTTTCTGAATGAATGAAATATGCAGTTTTCTATCAAGGCAACCCAGTTTGCTGAAATATAATTGGCTTAACTGGCACTGGGCGGGTTAAAAGGACCAAAACAAAGACACCATTCCGGCACATAACGCACATTTCCAAAGCAGAATATCTGACTTCAGCATTGTTTTTCAGATACACAAGAATGTTCACTAATAGTAGCATGTTTCTTAAATATCTGCAAACATATTAAGGTATTTTATGCTTTAGAAAAGTCAAAAACTTACAGTACCTTTAGATATATTACACAGAAAGTCATATAGGTTCAAAGCAATGAGCATAGTCCTTGATTTTATTGCATGTTTGATTTCTCTGTTGTTGTAGCACTTTGGGTTTTAGAAAGCACATTATAAATAAAATGTATTATTATTATTATTCTGCGTCATTTGCGCAGCGTGGCAATAATTCCCCTCTATTTGCACGCTTGCATTGACTGTATGTAACTTCCTTGCAGGTATACTTAATTCCACATATGATGTGAACACAGCATAGCAACTTCATGGAAACTCATCCTACTCTAATTCGCTTTTTGGATTTTTTTTTCATTTTGGCAAGCTTTGAAAATATTTCCTTCACGTTAGGATGCCGACCCGACTACAGTTGTAGTTTTTTGATCTGAACAAATCAATGCAATATCACTGACTTGGAAACCAATGCAAAAATTCTGCGAAACACACAGGAAGTACACTCATCAGATCTAAACCGTTGCTAAACCAATTGTGTACAGTCAGATTGGATTAGATACTGCATCTAAAATAAAGGTTCTTACTTGGCAATCTGAATAAGAACAATAACAAGCCAGCGTCCAGCATCCCCCCACATCTTGGCGGCTGCCATCTCAACGAAAACCTCCACATACTCCAGCACTGACAACCAGGTTAACAGCTTCTGTTGAGAAATAGACTATGCACACACACAAAAACAGAGTTATGACGTCAGAACAAAACAAAGAAATGTTCAGTTCTGAAAATATTTATCCACATTTTAAAGTAAAAGCAGAATTAAGTGTGAATGGCTGCTTTTATACAATAGTGAAAGGTAGACACTTTATCAAAAAGCTACATTTACACTAGTGTGTTTTTGTTTCAAAGGTCCCCTGTTGTGCTTTGAAATGTGAAGTGTTATTCGATGTTTGACAGCCAATAGTGTTTTGCTATATCATTGCTCTGTCAGTGAGAGTGATTGAGCTCGAGACATCAAATGTTAAGCTTCTTGATGGGGCGGGGCACGTCAGATACTAGAGAGCCTTTGATTGGTCAAGAATTGATGAGAAACTGGCGTGTAAGAAATCGTTGACCCATTTAGGCGGAAGTGATAAACTACAAGCCTTTACATGTTTATATCAGTTTTATATCTTCTAAACGTGACTTGAGTCACTACTTAGCTGAACTATCACACAGTCAATATAAAGTCAAAGCGCCTCTGAAGAGGTCCGTTAAAGTCAAAGCTCGTATACCCATGGCTGTAAACATACGTTTCTCCATCCTATCCTGGCTGAGCAACTCCGAAATGACCCTTTTTCTGCAAATGTGTTTATTTTTGTGCGCTTGCAATAGAACCTACAAAGATAATTCTATCTGACAAGAACAAACAAAGAAAAAACTATACGGGATGTCTGTAGACGGTGCTTTCTCCAAAAGATGAGTGTTGGGTTTAGGGTTGTGGTAGGTGTAGAAGTTTTTGTAGACGATAATAACTGTGATGGTTGGGTTCAGGGTTGCGGTAGGTGTAGACGTTAATGATTATGAGGGTTGTGTTCAGGGTTGTGGTAGGAGTAGATGTTAATAACTGTGATGGTTGGGTTTAGGGTTGTGGTAGGTGTAGATGTTAATAACTGTGATGGTTGGGTTTAGGGTTGTGGTAGGAGTAGACGTTAATAACTGTGATGGTTGGGTTCAGGGTTGTGGTAGGAGTAGATGTTAATAACTGTGATGGTTGGGTTTAGGGTTGTGGTAGGAGTAGATGTTAATAACCGTGATGGTTGGGTTTAGGGTTGTGGTAGGAGTAGATGTTAATAACTGTGATGGTTGGGTTCAGGGTTGTGGTAGGAGTAGATGTTAATAACTGTGATGGTTGGGTTTAGGGTTGTGGTAGGAGTAGATGTTAATAACCGTGATGGTTGGGTTTAGGGTTGTGGTAGGAGTAGATGTTAATAACTGTGATGGTTGGGTTTAGGGTTGTGGTAGGAGTAGATGTTAATAACTGTGATGGTTGGGTTTAGGGTTGTGGTAGGAGTAGATGTTAATAACTGTGATGGTTGGGTTCAGGGTTGTGGTAGGAGTAGATTTTAATAACTGTGATGGTTGGGTTCAGGGTTGTGGTAGGAGTAGATGTTAATAACTGTGATGGTTGGGTTTAGGGTTGTGGTAGGAGTAGATGTTAATAACTGTGATGGTTGGGTTTAGGGTTGTGGTAGGAGTAGATGTTAATAACTGTGATGGTTGGGTTTAGGGTTGTGGTAGGAGTAGATGTTAATAACTGTGATGGTTGGGTTTAGGGTTGTGGTAGGAGTAGATTTTAATAACTGTGATGGTTGGGTTCAGGGTTGTGGTAGGAGTAGATGTTAATAACTGTGATGGTTGGGTTTAGGGTTGTGGTAGGAGTAGATTTTAATAACTGTGATGGTTGGGTTCAGGGTTGTGGTAGGAGTAGATGTTAATAACTGTGATGGTTGGGTTTAGGGTTGTGGTAGGAGTAGATGTTAATAACTGTGATGGTTGGGTTTAGGGTTGTGGTAGGAGTAGATGTTAATAACTGTGATGGTTGGGTTTAGGGTTGTGGTAGGAGTAGATGTTAATAACTGTGATGGTTGGGTTCAGGGTTGTGGTAGGAGTAGATGTTAATAACTGTGATGGTTGGGTTCAGGGTTGTGGTAGGAGTAGATGTTAATAACTGTGATGGTTGGGTTCAGGGTTGTGGTAGGAGTAGATGTTAATAACTGTGATGGTTGGGTTCAGGGTTGTGGTAGGAGTAGATGTTAATAACTGTGATGGTTGGGTTTAGGGTTGTGGTAGGAGTAGATGTTAATAACTGTGATGGTTGGGTTCAGGGTTGTGGTAGGAGTAGATGTTAATAACTGTGATGGTTGGGTTTAGGGTTGTGGTAGGAGTAGATGTTAATAACTGTGATGGTTGGGTTTAGGGTTGTGGTAGGAGTAGATTTTAATAACTGTGATGGTTGGGTTCAGGGTTGTGGTAGGAGTAGATGTTAATAACTGTGATGGTTGGGTTTAGGGTTGTGGTAGGAGTAGATTTTAATAACTGTGATGGTTGGGTTCAGGGTTGTGGTAGGAGTAGATGTTAATAACTGTGATGGTTGGGTTTAGGGTTGTGGTAGGAGTAGATGTTAATAACTGTGATGGTTGGGTTTAGGGTTGTGGTAGGAGTAGATGTTAATAACTGTGATGGTTGGGTTTAGGGTTGTGGTAGGAGTAGATTTTAATAACTGTGATGGTTGGGTTCAGGGTTGTGGTAGGAGTAGATGTTAATAACTGTGATGGTTGGGTTTAGGGTTGTGGTAGGAGTAGATTTTAATAACTGTGATTGTTGGGTTCAGGGTTGTGGTAGGAGTAGATGTTATTAACTGTAATGGTTGGGTTTAGGGTTGTGGTAGGAGTAGATGTTAATAACTGTGATGGTTGGGTTTAGGGTTGTGGTAGGAGTAGATGTTAATAACTGTGATTGTTGGGTTCAGGGTTGTGGTAGGAGTAGATTTTAATAACTGTGATTGTTGGGTTCAGGGTTGTGGTAGGAGTAGATGTTAATAACTGTGATGGTTGGGTTCAGGGTTGTGGTAGGTGTATATGTTAATAACTGTGATGGTTGGGTTTAGGGTTGTGGTAGGTTTAGACGTTAAGGTAGACATTAATAACTATGATGGTTGGGTTTAGGGTTGTGGTAGGTTTAGACATTAATGTAGACATTAATAACCATAATGGTTAGGGTTAGGGTTGTGGTAGGTGTAAACATAAATATAGACATTAATAATCATAATGGTTAGGGTTAGGGTTGTGGTAGGTGTAAACGTAAATATAGACATTAATAACCATAATGGTTAGGGTTAGGGTTGTGGTAGGTTTAGACATTAAGAACTATGATCGTTAGGTTTAGGGTTGTGGTAGGTGTAATAGTTAATGTAGACATTAATAACTATGATGGTTAGGTTTAGGGTCGCGGAAGGTGTAGACATTAGTAACTATAATGGTTGGGTTTAGGGTTGTGGTAAGTATAGACGTTAATAACTGTGAAGGGTACAGCTCCATCTTGCTAACAACACAGTTTTGACATGTGGGCCTCGATAACTTCAGGTTACGCCTCTACTACTGTACAAGTTACACCCCTGTTTTGTAGACTGCAGACAGACCCTACTCACACAAATAGCCAAAATGCAATAGAAAAATGCAACTCTAAAGCTTTCAAACTAAAAATGTCCTGCAGATTTCCCAAAAGTCTTTCATTTGGAGGGTCAAAAACACTGCAGTACTCTGGATTTTCTTCCACGAGTCTAAATTGTGTTTTTTAGCCATAATTAGATGTAACGAGGATTCAACTTTCTGCCATTTAGCAGAAACTGGAGAGTACCTGCCAACTGGAGACTAGCTGAACACTCACAAAGTCAATATAAAGTCAAAGTGTCTCTGAAGAGGTCCATTAAAGTCAAAGCTCGAATACCCATGGCTCTAAACACAAGCTTCTTCGTCCTATCTCGGCTGAGCAACTCCAAAATGACCCTCTGTCTGTAAATGTGTTTATTATTGTGCGCTGGCAATGGAACCTACAAAGATAAATCTGTCTCGCAAGAACAAACAAAAGAGAAAAAAACTACGAAGAATGTTTGTAGACTGTGCTTTCTCCAAAAGATGAGTGTGTTTGTTTGAAGGGGTCAGATGTTTTTTTTTTACAGGCTGCCCATTTTAGTCATTTTGAGGCTGTCATCAGCGGGGCGAAACGGTGTATATCAACAAGTCTATTACTGAACAGTGGCAGAGTTGGGGCAAAAGACTTGGGAAATATATTCTTTAACAATGTGTAGTAAAAAAAAGTGATTTTGAAAGCATAAAGCCTGCCGCAACTTTGAATCTTCTCTCTTGAAGCAGAACAGACTGTGCTAAAGTTTGACAATAGAAAAAAAACTCTCATTCATTTCATAGATAACTTTATGGTGGTTGCCATGCCGAAAGCACATGCACATACCGGTCCCTTATGCAAGTGTGATGATTAAGCAAGGAGAAACTATCTTCGAATGGCTATTTTATGAGAGATCAATGGGCTTTTGACAGATAAAAGATGTACCGTGAAAACACAAGGTATTCGTCAGAACTCAAACTTGCTCTCTAGCTCAAAACGAGCATTTTAAAACGGCACTAAAGGAAGTATTTTCATGTGAACGACTGGAAGTTTGCTTTCAAAATAAGCGAGGAGGTGGATGATAAGACAAAAAGACTGTAGAACTACCTCAGAGAACAAAACATTCAAAGTAATATATATTCATTTAAAGGGAAATCCATTACCATAGGCAAAGTCCGAGACAGATTCTTCCTCAAGATACCATCATTCAGCAGCACTAGCAGGTTAGACGCGGAGTAGACTGCAAATCAAAAGTGAGAATTATGAACTGAAAAAGAGTTCAAAGAAGGACATGCTCTCAGATAAAACAAATAGAAAACAGTGAATCCTACCCAGCTCTGAGATTTCATGAGAGTCTGAGAAGCGGCCTGTAATGAGAAAAGACATATGTACTCATAATCAAAATGGTAAAGGTCTCTCAAAGTTACTGTGTTAGTACTACAAAGGTTAGGCGATATACAGCAGGGAAAATAAATATTGAACACATCATGTTTTTTGTCTGGGAATAATAGTTCTAAAGGAGCTAGACATGGAGTTGAACCAGATTTTGGTAAAAACCCAAACCCAGAAGATGCCTCTGATATGGAGGATGAAGTCACATGCATTGCTCAGGTCTGAATTTTCTTGACGGTGAAAAATCTTGACGGTTATGGGAGCCTCGTCTATCAAATCTGATCTTAACTTTGCATTCTCAATTGGATTTAAGTCAGGTGATAGGCTGGGCCATTCTACAGCTTGATTTTCTTTCTCTGAAAGCATTTAAGAGTTTTCTTGAATGTTTTGGATCATTATCTTGCTAAAATGTCCACCCTGGTTTCATCTTCATCATCCTTCTAATGTAGATGTTGAACTGAAGTAGCTAATATTACTTTACAGTTACGAATGGCAGAGGGGGGCTGAATAACTACTGCATTTAAGCTGCTGTCTGGGCCTTCCATGGCTTTCTGCACCTTCCTTTTTTCATGCTTTCGATAATTTTTTCATTTTATTACAGATAACTTCATTTGAAAACTAATTAGAGTTTTTTTCTTTGGATATATTATTATTTTTGGTTGCTATCAACATCCGGGGGAAATTTCAAGTCAACAGCACCTTTAGAAATAGGTTTTCTGAGAAAAATGGTGACGTAGACTTAAAAAAAACGCTAAAAATGTTTATTTTACTTGTAACTTTTCTTTATTGCATTTACTTTTGCTTTAAATTTGTTTATTATATTTTATGCATAATTCTCTCCCTTACAGAATCATCCCAAATAATCTAAAATGATAAAAAAAATCTTTTGAAACAGAGATATTTAAGACATCTGGAGAAATTGTATTCATATCGCAATATTTTGTTAAGGTAGATTTTAACATTACGATTTGCAGCCCTATTTCAAACGTTAAGAAAATTCAGAGGCTCTCTAGCAGGGGGACAAAAATCCACACGAACAGTTTCTGATCAAGTTTAACTAAATGGTTTAACAAAATAATAATAAATGTAACAAACTGGCTAAAAAGGGTTTAACATTGGCCTGTTGGAAAATACCTCAAGAAATTAAAATATGCCTTGAAAACTATTAAAAGAATGCATATAATGAATGCATTTAATATTTAATGATGTTAGATTATGAACTAAGTTTTCAGCTTTGAGGAAAACATGACACAGCGGGGTTAGTTGTGACAGGGTGTTACAAATAAGTCACACACTGTTTGACACCAATTAAACCAACAATATAATGTTTACATTTTAAGTGTAATGTTGAGAACTTTTTTACATTAATAATGCATTTTAATATATATATATATTTTTTATATAAAAATACATTTGATTGGTAATAATGCAAATGAATGCATTGTATAACAATAGATAATAATGCAAATAAATCCAAATGTGTTTATCGAATAGATAAATAAATATACATGCTGTGCCAAGTACTAAGGACATATACTATATTACGTAAACTATTTTTAAATTAATTGTGTGAAATCTTACTTCATACGCATGTGTTACAACTAACCCTCTGTCAGTTACCCTTTACTACTGTTTACCCCGCAGGTGGGGTAAACAGTAGCATATTTACTCTTGGCATTTTTGGCAAAACTGCACAGAAACCATTGATCATACAACCAGTTCTCATTTGTAGGAGAGGCTTGTGTGTTGTTGGTAAAAAAATGTGGTTTGTGTAACCCCACAACTTTGTTCATTATTTGGCCAAAACCTAAAAGTGTTACTAAGTGCCCTGCTCTCCTCTTCCAGTTTTCAGCATTCTTCAAAGCATCTTCTTTTGTGTTCAACAGATGAATGAAACGCATAAAAGTCTTGGAACTGCTTAAGGGTGAGTAAATAGTTATTAAACCGTAATTTCTGGGTGAACTATCCGTTTAATGTTATGTTAACAAGGCTACATTACATATTTGTACACGCAGATTTACATTTTTATAAAAGACAAAACTTCTTGGACTAGTTTGATTAACTTAATAGTCAAATACAAAATACATCAGAATAGTATGGAAAGCTGCATACTATTCCACAATGACTGAATAAATATATATCTAACTTTTAGTCGTGCACATGAATGTTTACTTTCACTTTGTCAGACATCAGTCTCTCTCACCTGCGATCAGGTAACTAAGCGCGCGCACTGTGCTCTCCAGATGAGACGCGGCTGCCGGGCTTGTCCTCACATACTCCTGATAACGCTCGAAAACACGGCTTAGTTTCTCCATGTAGAGCACCGACATCACAGTCAAAGCAATATATTTTCCAATCACGCACAGCTCATAGCAAAAACACACGGAGGCTGACACTTCCGCGTATGCAGACGGTCTTCCTCTGACGCCACTTCCTAGGAGGTGAGCGCGCGCATTTTAAAGACATAGTAAACTTGTTTAAAACGCTGTTTTCGTGGGTAAGACAAATAAACGAAGAGAGTTAATAATGATGTACAGACGTAACTTTGCTTATATGTTGTCCATGTACTATTGTGTCCATGTTTGTTTATATTTTGTCCATGTGCTTGTCCATAAACGTCAAACGTTCTCTTGTGCAGGTTTACAGTCACCTGGAGCTTCATTCACAATGCCACTTTGCAGCCTTGATGGAAAATGCGAGAAAGAGAAGCGTCAAGAATCAATGGATTCCTCGACTGTTACTAAGAACCTTTTGCAGGTAATTTATTTTACAATAGGCAAGGCAAGTTTATTTATATAGCACATTTCATACACAGTGGCAATTCAAAGTGCTTTACATAAACAAGAATAAAAGCGACAAGTAAAAGAAAATGAAAACAAATAATAAAAATCAAAACAAATAATAAGAATTATCAAAATAAGAATAAAAAAAATAGATAAAACAGATAAAAATGTGTTAAAATATGTTATAAGATAATGAAAAAGAAGGAAAAAAGCACAATAGTGCGATCTGTCGGACGCAGCACAGTGCTCATTCAATAGATCACAGTTTGGTATTTAATACTTTTACGTGACCATGGGGGGAGTAACATATTTATATCCTAGCAATCTGCACATTTTGTAAAATTAAGAACGAAAGCCTGATTCACACATTTTTTTAGTCTGAAAACACAAAAAGCTTTTGGAATAGCTTATATCTTCATATGGGTAAATACTTTGCTTCCCCCAGCCCCTTCCAACTACAAGATATTGTTTGTTTCTATAAAGGGAAAACCATAGAGAACTGCGTTATTATAATATATAACCTTTTTTTATTTTGTATGGGAAATATTTTATTCACAAACAAAAAATTATTGTATTCGCAGCCTTCACGTTTTTTTTAAATTGAAAATGATGTTTTATTAAATCTCTTGGACTGGTTAAAAACAAGAAAAGTAATAGATTCTTAGATTATTATGACAATTATTTTGAAAATATCACAGACACATAAGTCCATCTTTCCTCTTACTTTATTTGCGTTATTTTTATATGTTTATAAAAAAATTTCTCCTCTTTTTTTCCCCCTTTTTTCCTGTTTTATATGTGTTTATTATATTTTTTAACCTGATCATTACATTATTATCATTGTTACGATCACTGTCTTTTTTGTGTTGGTTCGAACTTTGTAATTTTGTAGGATTTATATATATATATGTATGATGATTACATGATTATATATATATGCATGATGATTTGTAGGATTTATATATATATATATATATATATATATATATATATAAATTACAGTTAGCTACAAATTACAATAGATCACCCTCAAATGACGGATCACCTTCAGATTTTTCCGTCACTGCTGAAAAATATCTGTCACACAGCAGTTCAGACTTTGATAAAAAGGTAAAAAAAATCCAGTCCAGTTCACAATACTTTTTATACTTATACTTTTTCATTAAATCAGTGATATCATTTATAAATTTGGCAAGTTAAAATCGTTTAATTTCTAAGCAATTTAGTAGTTTTGATCAGGACAGGACTAAGGTTGATTAACAGATCTCTGCAAAAATTTTTTTACAAATATTTATCTGATGAATTTTTACAACAGTTTTCATCCCTAACAAAACAAAAGTTTAGTGAATATGCCCAGCGTGTATTGCTGAGTTAAAAAAAAACAAACCCAAGCATTTTCTCAAAATATGTGTCAAAAAAAGGTGTCACCAAAAGTCCTTCTGCTAGCTGAAACAGAAAAAGTTATGGACAAATTAAGACTCAAAATCACCCCAGAGTGGATGAAAACATCCCCAACAGCACATTAGGGTTAACATTGTATAATACATATTGTTTTGGACTACAATTATAGTCCAACATTAAGTTTTACTGTATTTACAGGATGCCCTAAGTAGTTTTCTAGTCTTCTCCTCTGAACATTTTCTGTCTTTGAACTGCTAATCTTGTAAAAGCTCCTCGACGGGTCAACAGCACAGTCAGGGATTAGAAAACCTCTAGATGCGTGACCCAAAATTGAATATAGCCCACAACCATCATCATAATCAGCTCCTTCAAATGAACTAGAATTAATTGAGCATATGCGTTTATAGCAGCAATCCACTTTCATTTCTTTAAAAGGCTAACGGTCCATTTTTTTATGTTAATAACTGAACACTAGAGGATGCAAAAAACTGATAAATTCAAGCATCTCTGTCCGAGCGTGCCCTGTGTTTATTGGCAGAACAACAGAAAGCAGCTGGCATGCCGGTGGAGATCCAGATATGAACAGAAATGAAGATCATCAGCTGATGAATGTGATGGGATAACATCAGGAGAGTGGATTATAGACATTTGATATCAAGAGAGAATGAGGCTAGCTCGGCTTATTTATAGAATAAGGCATGGATTAATTTTGATTCAGCATTACGGACATAAATCTGAAATATAAATCGGATATCAATCTGAATACATAATAGTGCTGGAGCTGATTTGAGGTGCAGGTTTTTAAAAAGAAGAGTAAAAAAGCAGTCCTTCTTCCATTACATGTGCATTTATACACTGTATAAATATCTGTTAAATAACAGTATATCAGTATTTTGTGATTCACAAGTGTTGTTTCGTTTATTTACAGTGGTGAATTGCAGTTTGGCATGTTGATCTGTGCTCTGTCGACTTTTGCTTTAAATATTTTGCTTACTAGAAATTTTAGCTGACATTCACTTGTAAATACAAATGCACTCACATTTTAACAATTAGAGGTTAACCCAAGCCCCAAGACAAAAAAAAAAAGTCATAAAAGTAATAATTAAACAAAAATTAAACATACTTTACCTCAGCCAACCACACACCAGTGCTATCCAATGGTAAACGTAGGTACTAAAGTCACAGTAAACATATTGATCTCAAGTTTGTAGAAAGGACATAAAAGATGACCACATTTTTTCAAATAACAAAATTTTATCTATTAGGGTATACCAGATTTTTTCCAGATTTAATCTACCCGTTTACTCCGTCAGCCATAATTTAATAGTTGGAACTTTTTTTTTTTTTTCCAAAACAAAAGAATACGTTTTTTTTCTTTTTGGCAGAGATCAACCCATATTAAACAAACTGTTGTTGTACCCGTGTAATTCTCAAAAATTCTTCGAAAACTCCACATAAAATTACTATAGGATCTGGTTCAATCGGAATGTCTAACGCAAGGGTCACCAATCCTGGTCCTGGAGGGCCGGTGTCTCTCCAGGGTTTAGCTCCAACTTGCCTTAGCACACCTGACTGCTGTTTCAAGTAAACCAAGTAAGACCTTGATTAGCTTGTTCAGGTGTGTTTGATTAGGGTTGGAGCAAAAATCTGCAGGACACCGGCCCTCCAGGAACAAGTTTGGTGACCACTGGTCTAACGTATCCGAAAAAACTTGGAATATTTTGTTTTAGAAACTCTGTAATTTGGGTTGGAATCTAAAAACTGACATTTGTCACACACTTCTTGATTTTATTTAATTTGCATTTAGAATAATGGACTCTTTACCTGTTCTAAACCCTTATAAAGCAAGAAAATGGTACTACCATCTTTTAGACATCTTTCCAGAAATATGTACGTGGGCGATGCTGTAGCGCTTTGAGAACTTTTGATGTTGAATATTCAACTAATATGTTTAAGAAATAAAATATGAAGAAATAAGTCTGTAAAATGTCATAAAATTGGCATGTTTATTACAAAGTTTTTGTAGCAATAAACAACACCAATCCAGACAATAAATCACTTTAAACTATTAGAAATGTTAGTAAAAGTCAAAGTTAAAAGTTGTTGAAAGATCCACAATGCAAAAATATAAATAAACATGGAAAAATAAAAACACGAAGCACAAAATACGGAAAATTCACGTATATATTTTTTACAATTTAAAGGGGGGGGGGAGGTTGGTTGGTTGGTTGGTTATAGCGAACCGAACAGTGGGCGGTGTTGGCAGGGGGCGTTGTCGCAAACTATTCCGGCATATGTTTTAGGCAGCGGATGCCTTTCCAGCCGCAACCCATTGGAAACACCCATACACTCTCCCTTTCACACACACTTATACACTACAGCCAATTTAGCTCATCCAATTGACCTATAGCACATGTCTTGTCTGTGGGGGAAACCGGAGCACCCGGAGGAAACCCACACAAACACTGGGAGAACATGCAAACTCCACACAGAAATGTCAACTGGCCCAGCCGAGACTCAAACCCATGACCTTCTTGCTATGAGGCGACACTGAGCCACAAATGCTGTTCATTAAATGTTGTATTCATCAAAGAATTATGGATGATAATCAGTTTTAACACAAAACATGTACAAACAAACCACAATAAGAAGCATTATTACAGCAAATCAGCATTTCAGAAGCATTCCTAAAGGACCATTTGTATTTTAAATCGTAATGATAAATCACAAGATCACTATTACTATTATTAATTCAGCCTTGGTGAGCAAAACTAAAAGCAAGAACTGTCATAGGTGAACTATGCCTTTAATCCTGCTCATTAGATCTCATCTCAGTGTGTAAAGACAGTTTGAAGCTATTTTTACTAAAGGACACGAATCCTCGTCCTTTAGCAGATTGGTTATCCGCTTGCTTCTGAATCTCACGGCTAATTATGAGTGCTGAAAACATTTTGGAGGCATTCTGGGAAGTAACGTGATGTGACGGGACACAGTTAGAGGGGCTTGACTCGCTTTGCACATGTACACTGATGATATTATTATTGTTTATTTATGCAGGCTCTTTATTTCTCTCCTAAACCTCCAAGGTACGGTTCAGAGAGAGCATTTAAAAATAATTCCTCTCTGAATTCAGTTTTAATATCTTGCGTGCTTATGATGCAGTTTG